GTGCAGTCTGTATTTTGCGGTACTAACTTCTCGATAGAATTTTAAATAAATTATAAAGTACATAAAAATCATAGTAAACATACAGAATACACGTCACTAATTAAGATGATAAAAAGTTAAAATATTGAATAACTTATTATGAATATACCTTGAAAGATCATAAATTATTGAAAATCAGCGTAGTAGTAATAGTTCTTATGAATTAGCTTTAGAAAAATTAATATTAAAAATAACTTTTAATTAATATTGAAAAATAACTATTAAAATTAAAAAAAAACATCAATAAAAATGTATAGTATAATAATAATAGGATCAACAGGAGGAATTGTAGGAGGAATTGCAGGATGTGCCGCATTGCCTTTTTTAGGGTTTGGTTTAGCTGGTATTTCAGCTGGTTCAATTGCAGCTTCTTGGCAAGCTTCTATTGGTGCTGTTGCAGCTGGATCTTTATTTGCTACTTTACAATCTTTGGGAGCTTCAGGACTAGGTATGCTTTTATTTGGACCAGCTGGAGCCGTAATAGGTTTATTAATTTCTATAGCAGCAAGCTTAAATTGGTGGAAATAAGATAAATATATAATATAGAATAGGAAAAGGTAAAACGGACAAGTTAAAGGCAGAGTAAATAAAGGTGAAGGAATGGATAAAGTAGAAAGGTAAGAATTCGGAGATGTAAAAGGAGATAGGTAGTAGAGATTAGAGCGACGAAAAGGCGGGAAGTATAAGTATCCAAGGAGAACAGAAAGATCAAAATGACATCAAAATGATATCAAAATAAGATCAAATTTTAGTTTGTCAAAATGATGTCAAATTGCAAAAATTTTTGATGTATTCTTGACCATTCCAATTTAATTGCTAAAATAAATTTGTTTTAAATACAATAAATTTTATTAATTACCATCATATACTAGAGAATAAAAAAAAATATACATAACAAAATTGTGATCAAGAAATATGTATTTAGAAGCTTATTTACGATATTCCTAAAGCGGTCACCCATCCAAGCA